TGTTATGCTCTTATGATGTAAAACTTCATTTTATTGACTTCAACACAGTTTGCACTGTGTAGTGAGCTCTGTTGTTTGTTCCCCTCCTTACCCGCTATTCTGCAACTCCTCCAAATTAGATGCATTCCACTCAGATCCCTGTAGGAAACAAAAGCAATCCTCAGACTAGTTCAGAGCCTTAAGCTGAGCTTTTCATAATGCTTAAATCCAGTGGCAAGGCATGCCTGACATCCAATGTCCACTCCAAAACCAACAAGAACAAAGTACCTTAAAATTAGGAGGTATTACACAAGACTACCTCATATTTTGCCAGGTTCCCCAGACATGGATTAAATCTGGTGCACAACTAACGGTCATACATTTTACTTAAAAGAACTGAGACACTTCCTATAGTTTTAATTAATTCATTTATGATGTGGCACTTCTTCATCTTGTGGATGTCGGTGTAATGAGACCCACGTTCGGTGCACTGGTACTCCAGAGGTGTTTTGAGACTACCTACCAAGAAGACATGATCAAAGATCTCTGTAGGACTGTCCATCTGGCCCAGAATGACAATCATCTCATTGTCGATGAACTCTTTGAACTCTCGCAGGTTGCATGTCATGTGCATTTCCAACTCTGTTCGGATCTACAAAACATATCAAGCCAGAGAAGAGACAAAAAAAATCATAAAACAGCAAATCCAAACCTAAAATGCAGGCATTAGAAGTGCAAAAACTGCATTCAAAGACTGAATGTTTTATAAATTTCAGTGATAAATGCATCTGTTTTGGAGCATCTTAAGATACAGTATCTAAGGCAATGACTCACCTCTTTGCAGGTGACATTCTCAAGGTCTTTCTGCATCATGATCTCCTTCAAACTGGTTTTGATCTGACGCTCTGTCAGCTCTCTTTCCGTAGGTCTGCAGAAACACCATGACATTGAAATATGTTTTATAAACTAAAACCAAGTCCATTTCTATATATGAAGTGTTACTGCCAACATACAGTATGTCAGGAAGGAGATATCTGACTGAACCACTTTATGATACAGTGTTTAGTAAATGTGGAATGGTAGTGATTTAAATAGGTGAAAACTATAGTCCATAGGATCTGGATACTTACATGTCAGAGAAAAGCACAGGCGAATCCGCACGGTGTGACTGCACGTCCTGCATTGCATTCCACTCATTGATGCGTACCTGGTCGGAGGAGACCCTACTTTGATAGTAGCTGACCCACGTGAGGAACAAGCTGCCTGGGAAATAGTTGTGACAACGAGCCACCTCGCATGCTTTATGGAGTGACTGGAGGGCCGACCTGCGAGCGAGAGACATTGAGAGACAGGAGATGAAGAGGGGGAGAGAGAGTTTGAGATCATGACCGAAATAGAGACTTTCAAATAAACGGATACCAACACTTGCAACCAATAAAAGGGCAGATATCCATTTCTGCCAAGTCGTGTGATTAATAAAGTGTGACTCACCACATGGCCTGCACGGAAACAGGCTTGAAAACATGTATTCTGCTATCAGTTGACACACTGAAACCCCTGAGAGCAAAAAGAGAGAGGTGAAATTAAAAAAAGGACACAGTCAGCCATCTTAGCAGCCTGGTGTTTAGTGTGTGTTTAGCTTTGTAGTCTGTGTAAGTATGTCTCTTACCCATCTCCGTCCAGATGTATCAACGTGTCGCTCCATAAGGGCAAAACCAGCCCTACAGAACATGAGCTGGGAGAGGAGAAAGGAATAATCTGTGTGTTACACCTTTATGAACTGTTTCAAAACAGGTTTATGTGTAAGTTACTGTCTCACCTATCTACGGGACTGAAATCCATTCCCAGCACTACGCTCTCCTCCGTGTCCTGACGACCATTGGTTGAGACCACCACCATGTAGCGGGTGATCTGAGAGTGGGCGCTCTCCAATCGAACCGCCTGAAAAACACAATTGATGTCTTCACAGTTGACTGACAACTTTAAGATTTAATTGTGTGTGTGTGTGTGCGCACCCACCAGTTTGATGTTGTCCTCTGGTCTGAGGAGCGTGAACATGGTTTGCAGATGCTGCTGGATGTCTCCTGTTAAGATGAGAGTAATAAAACACTGATCAGTTTCAAGAGCCTTATTTACTAAAAGCCCTGCTCATACAGTCACACAGTCACTGGCTCTTTGGGAAGACCTTTTATCTCACCTGCATGTTTGCTGCGCAGCTGTGAGAAGCGAGAGGCAGAAGAAGGGGAGGAGCCATTTCCTCGAGGTAAGAAGAGAGCAGCTCCTTTAACTGTCAGGAAACTTTCACTGATGCTGGACAGACAGAAAGAAAAGAGAGGAAAAAATGTAATGATTGATAACCAACAATAAATAGTAATAAAATACATCCTGAAAAGCCTTTACAGCTTCAGATCTTTAAATTAAGTTTTACCCAACAGTCAAACCTATTTTTACAGAAGTTAATGAACTAAATGGCATTTTCCTCAGTCCTCAGCTCTCTGATGTGTTTTTGTGCAGATGTATGTTTCGTGCAAGTCTTTTGACAATCAATTAATCATTTCAGTAATTTTTCAAGTAAAACTGTTGTATCTTATGTGATCGATTTTTTGGGGTTTGGGACCATCAGTTGGGCATAAATAGAAATATATTTTACTATTTTATGGCAATTTATAGACTAAACTAATTGTATGTGTTGTCCTCTTATTGTAATGCTAACTCTGTTCCTGGTGTTGTGGGAATGACGTCTTTCTTTCCCCCAATTGTATGAAGCAGAGGTTTTTGTTGTTCAGAATGAAAACATCTGTTGATAAGCTGAGCATGAGGGATTTTGTCATCTAAAAGTTGAATGTGTTTCAATTATGGCGATTTAATCTTATGTTTACTTAGAAAATACACATGACGTCCTGTACAAACACAATATACAAAACAATAATGGAAAGATTTATGTGCCTTTATGAGCTCAAGACACTTGATTGACTGTGCAGTTTGCAACACACAGCATCTGGTTCCAATAACATGCTGGCTTTACTGAACTGGACATGTTCATAAAATGACAGAAAGCACGACAGACAAAGACATACTGAGTTACAGAGGAAAAACAAACACGAACTTCACCAACCAATTCTCTTTTTCACATATACCTTGCCCTATCTCAAACCAGCAGACCTACCTGCTGTTTTTATCTTTGTACTCTACAGGCAATTACAACTTAACTGGCTTTGGCTGAGTCTTTAGTCCTTTATGGCTCATAACTGAACAACTACCTGGCATGAAATTAACACTTCCAGCTAAGCTACTTGGCGCTACTGCTCTCTGAACAATAGAGTTATGTAATGGACTTAAAATGCCCAATGCATTCCTTTGATTTTGACGCTTCTGTGACGTATTTTTAAATCAGGTCTAAAGTCCCATTCTGTCACCGTCTGCTGTGAGGATGAAGGAGGAGAGAGACAGAGGCAACGGAGGGTGGACAGCAGTAATTACAAGTGACACTTAGGCAACCCACAGCTTCAGAACGGCTTCAGAACAGCGGCTGATGTACAATTTTGACTAAACACGGTCCCAACCCACATCTTCCAAATCACACTGCTTTCCTTAGTGCTGAAGTTAGAAGTGTCAACAATTTTAGAGATATTCATATAAAACTGGACCATTGCATGAATGTCTGCAAGGATAATTGTCTCCAAGTGAAACTCTAGCATCTACGCCCTCCCCAGGCTGACAGAAGGATCAGCAGCAACTAAGACACATATAATTTATCAAATTAATTAATTAATAACAAAGATTGACACACTAAGGAAGGCCACCAAGGTGTGCCACCCTAGAAGATCCCCAGTTTTGCACCCTGAATGTCAAATCGGTCAGTGTCATTCCCAGCGTTTGTTCTCTTAAGAGAGATTAATCACATCCTCTGATTCATGAACAATCTGTCTCAGGTACACTGTGTGCCTTCCTGGCACATCTAAAATAAAAAAGGTGGGTGGAGGGTGCATGTGAGCAGAGGAGTATGGCATCTGGGAGACATTTCGCAAGGAGCAAAGGGAAGGAAACGTCTTCCTGCAGCCCCTGACTCTGCTGCTGCGCTGTCATATCCTTCCCATTAAGTCATCATGGGAAAAACCACATGCCTTTATCATGACAGATCCCTGCTACCACATATTGGAAAGCTGGCCACATGAGAGTATGTACTGTGTCAAGACAAGTAAGCTTCAAGTCATTAAAAACACTTACTGATATTATACAAACTGAATCAGCAGCCCACAGAAAGCAACTCACAAATGATGGTGCGTGAGAACACAATAGCCTCAAGATGTTAGTGCACACACACACACACCACACCATCACACACACCCTGGTCTCTGAGCACAGTGCATTGGGTAAACTTACAGCTGATAAATTTCCCCCCGAGAGATCACGGAGTTCTCGGTGAAATACGGTCTCATCTTCGCCCCGCAGCAGGCGCAGAAGCAGCCGGCTGATGAGCTCCGTGGCGCGGTCACAACACCGGGAGGCATCGCTCCTCTGGTGGCGGCGGCAGGGCGCGAACAAGCGGACTGCGGGCACCGATAAGTCTCAGTTGTGGTGTGGAGGGCAGTTGTGAAAACACAGCAGCTCTGGGAAAAAGATCTCACTTGGACGCTTTGCTTTTAACGCACATCGCGGGTTTTAGGGACTTATCCTTCAAGAAGCGCGGCGATGATATATTGAGAAACGGTAAAGATATTGACATGTTGAGCACATGCTGTGGCGGGGTAGGTGCCTCAAAACATCTGCTCAGGGGAACTGTTTGATCTGTCTGCAGCAGGCTGCGGTAAACCCTGCCGCTGGAGGGGAGGAGACACACATGGTCCAATCGGTGCAGACAGCGCTCTGTCGTAGGCTGTATGAGGGGTGATTGGTGCCATAAAGAGGGGAGGGGGTGACTGACAACCGCTGACAGCAGCATGACTTTAATGGCGACAGCTCTTGTGTAAGAAAAGAACATTATTTTGAAAAACAAAATCAAGAATAAATGACTAAAAAGGATTTTGACTGGCACTCGAAACTGTGAGTGGCTGCTCATAAGGATGTCCCTGTTATTCCACCTGCTGTGTGTGTGCGGATATGTTTTTAAATGGCAAGTCAAAGACCAGACCAAACCCACATTTACCTTCCTGTAGTAGTAGCAGTATAACACAGTATTATGGCACTGGACTGAGTTTAGGATTTGGTCGCACAGAAAAAATAGGCACGGATGGAGCTCTTTCTGGTATTTTTTGAGTTGATGTTAACAGTTTTCACTAAAGAGGAAGGAAACAGGAAACTGTGAGGCAGAACTGGGGACATGGCGATCATATGTCACTACATGGATGCAGCTTAAACATAAGTGTATATATTTCCATTTACTGATGGTTTTTTACCATGCGTTGTGAACATGTTCATACTCAAGATGCCAGCGAATAAAAATAAATAGCAGTGACATCATAGAGGCTTTTTTTGTGGCTTTAAGTTAAGACGAGAAGAACTTCGGCTTTTTTTGGCTTAAGGGAGCTGTGGTCGATCATATCAGACCCATTCCTGTCACAGCTTTTGACATGCTCTTTCGGTTCCCCCTTTTCCATCACACCTTGACCACTTGAACTCAAATACTATATTTAACAAGTTGTGCAATTGTTGTACAACTTATTCACGTTATTCAATTTGCTTTTACACCGTTATTCAACGGGCCACAGCGTTCCAGTCCAACAGCCAGATACAAATTAAATGATATAGTTATAAAATACTGAGGGAGGGCCACACATTGGTGTTGTCTGAACGCTGATGCTATACGTCTGTGGCCTTCAGGGAAAATTCTCACCACAGACAGCGACACTTGAAACCGTGTTTCCAGCAACAGCACGACAACAACACAACAACAACAACGGAAAAAGGATTGAGAAATCAAAAAGGAGACATCACGAGTGAACTGAGGGGAAACTTGACCTTAGACATGGTTACGCTGCTTGTTTATCCCTCGTGGTTTCAATTTATGGGATAGATTGCAAACTGAACGTAAATACATGGCCACAATCTGACTGCCAATTCATAGCAGAGGATAAACAACAACTGCAGTGGTGTTTTTCTTTGGAACACTGTACACGTGTGCACGCTGTGTGTGTTTTTTTGTAAAGTAATAGGCTCTCCCTCCTTCATCAAGCAGCCACGTGGTGAGATTCAGTAGCAAGATGAAGCGGATCAATTTACTCCATGATGTTACAGGCTTTGACCTCCTCTCAGTGATCTTTACAAGCAGAAAATTGTTTATTTATTAGTCCACTGAGTCACGGGTGGTTTAACATATCAAAGTAAGTCATTAACAGACAGAGAGACAGCGGTACAGCATAAGTTCAGTGTTAGCTTTAACACAATGAATGTTTAAAGCAGCCAAAAGTTGCACTGATGAGGCTTAAATACTCCTCAAAACACCTTCATCGCTGACTGATAACAGCTACCTCATCCGACAGTTACACAAACAACACATTATCCTTTCTTGTCGTCAGGTTGCTTTCTCCTTCTCTGACTGACTTTCTTCTCACATTGACCCCTAAAATCACTCCCATCTCCCCATGCTCTTTCTTCAACTGGGAATATCTGACACTGACATGTCATTGTAGGTCTAGCGAGGAACAGTCAGTCTGCCATGGGTCAGGTACTCCTAGTGGCCCATGGACTCTTAACAACCCACGTTTGTGGTGTTGGAGTTCCAGCTTACTGTTCTCTCATTTGACTGCTGAAATTCACACCATTCAATGACAAGCAGCGAGGGCCAGCATGTGGTTGTTACATGCAGACAGACACCGGACACTCCTCTGTTGCTCTTATGTCTCCACGTATACAAAGACACAGACAGTCACCTTAGTGATCACAACATCCCATATATAACGCAGTACAGCCAAGGCTATTCAGTATTTGCTATGGATTTGAAGAACACACACAAAAACATCTTCAATCCAAACACACACAACCGCAACAGATTAACAGCTATCCCAGGAGCAGCTGAGTCTTATATATATTATGCACTGACAGGAAGTAAATCTGATTATTTACAGTTTAATCAATAAGCCAGACAGACCACACACACTGGATTGCGACACAGAGAGTGAAAAGGACTTATTTAATCGGACTAAAGAATTAAAATCTCAGAAATACTCGTGTCATAATAAATTCTCGTTCTCCCTCTCTGGTTTCTCCTCTTCGGCTCCTTCGGTGACGTTGCTGCTTTAGCTGATGTCACTGTTCTGCTGATGTCACTGACTTTAATCAGCAGCGCTGCAGTAGGCCCACTGCATCACTAAGGGCTTATTCCAGTCTGGATGAATGTCACTACCTGTGTCAGAGATGAGCTCTGCTGCAGCTGCTGACTTCTATGGCACAGACGTCAGCAGTGTGGGAACATTAATTCAGCCCACGGGTTCACTTTTATTTAACCGCTTCTGCATCTTTGCCAACACACCTGTGGCTATTTTATTGGACAAGATACGAGTGCTCTTCTCGTGTGATATTATGAGAAGATAATTGCCCTACAAAACCTGTTCAACCAATTTGGTTTATGATTGGGAAGAATAAAGCTGAAATTCCTGACTGTGTATTGTTGCTAAATCAAACCAGAACAATAAGATTGATTAGCAGCACATAGACAGTAAGTTCAAGGTACATGATCCAATCTTAGCATCTAACAACAATCTACAATGCAGATGGCAGCATTGTCATCCTCTGCAGCCCAGTATAATGCAGTATAATATACACAGCTGCTTACTTGGTAAAAGCAATTCAAAGACGTTTGAGACTAATCCGTAGGCAAGACAAGGCCCAGCTCCTCACTCGGAACTTGATATTCATATGTGCTCCTTTGAAAAAAAGGCAATGGCATGTCCGTACAAGTAACAAGTTCATGGTGTTACATATTCCATAGTTGGGTGGAACACTGTACAGTCAAATAATGTCAGAGGACCCCTGATTTCCACTGAACATGTCACACTTAGCCAAATGTGTAAGTATAAAGGTCAAAGGTAATGATCTTGGGACTTCAAAACAAGACACTGAAAATAATATTAGTTTCCAAAACACTGTAAATCAAAATAACATGTGATCTGACACCTATGATTGTATGTACACACACACACACGCACACACAGAGCCTCAGTATGTGAATATAGATTTCACTCCCAGCTGCACAAATACAGAAAGCCCTCTCAGTTGGATGGCACAGAGCTCCAATAACCAGACAGACACAGAGGCGCTCTGACTTTGGGAGGGGCTACCAATCTGCCCCTGGATCAGCAGTGCAGTTCCCCTGACCCACATACCCAGACCTGTCTCTCAGGGAGCTCACTGCCCTCTAATGTACAGCCAGTGAACTGCAGTTAATTATCTCAAACATGAGAGGATTTAATTTATTATTAAAGGGCCAAATAAAACAAAGGGGGAAGTTAGAGTGTTCACTGGTATCTACAACAAATAAACAGCAGGCAGTGGAAGGACACTGCTAATCCGTGGTGGTCTAAAACCAGCTGTAAATGTGGTTGAGTGAAACAGGATAAACCAGATTCCCAACTCCAGTTCAACGCCTGAGGCGACAAGGAACAGCACAGTTGTGTTGCACACAATAGAGCAGCAGCAGGATAAGACACATTTAATGGTTAAACGTCAAGTGCTTCTTTAGGTATAACCTAAATAAACCTGTCCAACGTCACTGTAATCCACACTGGTTTATGACGCCAAAATCACACTGCACATTAGTGAGGTAACAGAAGGAAGTTATTTTTTTAGCATGTGGTCATAGAGGGCAAAGCTAATGACGCGTTGTCCAAAACACAGCAGGAGATACAACAACTGTCAATATCTTACCTCCTCGGCTGAGAGCGACGGTCATCCTCCCCACTACCGGACTCCTAAAGAGATGAAATGAGAACATTACATTTAATGATGTGCAAATACGGTAGAACGTTTGATCTTGGAGATAACATTACAATCATGATTTCTTTTTACAATGTCTTTATTTTTTATTTAGAATTCATTTAGATCACCTAATTGTGAATGCAAACTAGGAATGCACGCTTATATTTATATTATAATTTATTTTATATCAAATCAGAGATCATAATCAAACATTTTAAATGTAGCAACATTAAATAAGCTTTCTTGAACCAGACAAGTAGTAAAAGAATGAGTAAATGAATGTAAATGAATCAAATCCCACTGTTCTATGTTGAGTAAAACAAAAAGAGTAGTTTGTTGCGCGCACACACACACACACACGCACACACACACACACACACGTACAAACAGTGCAAGTAGCATCCAACACAGTATCCAGTGAGCAGGAGGGAGAGCAGAGTGCAGCTTCAACTCAATTTGCACACTCTCCAGGACAATGACCTCAGTCTGTTTTTAAGGTGTGGCTGGTCAGAGAATAACATATTCACACACACAAAAACAAGCGGGGAGATGAGGAAGAGCGAATAAGAGAAAAATCCAAATCACATCAAATGAGCACGTTGTGGAATATGAAGCTTTGCTAAACGAGAGGGCTAAGGATTAGTAGCAGCAGATTAGCACATGGCACTTATCTTGCAGTGTCCGGTACTTATCTTGTTTACACTGTATGTAGGCTTAACTGGCCTTAACAACATTACAAAACCATTAACAGCTTCATAAAAAAGAATAAGGGGATTACAGGTTTATGATTGGCAACAAAAGAAAAGATGAGGTTGCAGGTGCAGGGCTGCCTCCGTGTGTTTGCATTGGGTGATAAAACCATATCAGTTTCTTAACCTGTGAATCAACAGTT